TGCGTGTGGGTAGGTGTGGGGTGTGGGTGTGGGTATGGGTGTGGGTGTGGGTGTGGGTATGGTGTGGGGAAACTAGTTAAGATGCATCCACACATCCACACCCACCCACCCGCACTCCACATCGGCACCCACCCACCCGCACTCCACATCGGCACCCACCCACCCACACCCACACCCACCCCACACCCACACCCACACCCACACACCCACACCTACACTCACCCACACTCACACCCACACACCCACACCCCACCTACACCCACACCACCCACACCCACACCCATACCCACACACCTAGGCATGCACCCAAACCGTTTGAGTCACTTCTGCCCAAATAAGGAAAAATGCCCTTATTTACTGAAGCATGCTATACAACAGTTTTTCTTCAGTAAAAAACTTAAGTAGGAGGATGACACTATAGAATACCAAAAGAGAGATTTCGGCAACCTTCTTAGACTAAATACTAGAGTCAATCACAAAACCCAAACCCAAACTCATTGAGTTTGGGTTTGGGGGGTTGTTCAGTTCTCTTTGAATATCTCATTTGATGAAGCAGCTCATTTGATTATTTTCCATTTAGTTATCAAAGGCAGACTTCGTTCAATATTAATGGCGATACAGTTTATTGATACAGTTCATAGTCAGTGAGATAAGTTTGAAATACCCAAATTCTTCTATTGAGTTTGGGTGCATGCCTACACACAACCACACCCACACCCTAGTTTACTAGTTTATTTAATATGCCTTTTATTGTAATGCAGAGCGCTGAAGAGTGTTTTAAAATTTAAATAAAATAAACACGAAACGCGTCGGTGAAAATAAACTCTGTCTTTTCTTTTTATTATTTTTTAAAGCACGGATATTCAATTTGACCAACTAATTGCGACATCATCGATTGCTGAAAAGCAAGAGTTGAAACTAACAGATTGATTTGTACCAGAGGGATATAGATCAGTCTGTTTTCAATTTGATCCACCCACCCGCACCCTCTGAACTCTATAATTGTTAGAAGTTTTAGATGAAATTACCTTTATTTTCTAATTGAGCCGAAATAGACCTAAAACATTCTCTGTCCTTTAATAAAAAGAACACAAACTTGCAATAAAAAAAAAAGTCAACTTTTAATCGAAAAAAATCAGTTTAATCAGAAAAACTTGATTCCCCACTTGGATGCATTGTTCAGTGGTGCCAGACGTACAGGTGGGTCTCTTGGGTTAAGACTGGGATGTAAGTAGGCGAACTTAGAAGATCCATTGTTGCAGTAGCGCTTAATAAGCTTGATGATTAAGTATATAAGACCAATTACTAATGCAGTACCAACGACTGAGCCCAAGCTAGCTCCAACAATCACGCCAGGATTGCTCGCATTAGGTGTTGTTGTAGTTGTGGTTATGCTTGTAGTGGAGGTCGTAGTTGCAGTTGTAGCAGATGTGCTCGTAGTTGTTGTAGCTGTTGTTGATGTACTGCTTGTTGCGGTACTTGTTGTCGAGCTAGTTGAGGTTGTGCTACTTATTGTTGAAGTACTTGTTGTTGAGCTACTAGTTGTTGTACTAGTTGTAGAAGTGCTACTGGTGAAGGTGGTAGTTGTTGAAGTACTTGTTGTTGAGGTGGTAGTTGTTGTAGTACTTATTGTTGAGGTGGCAGTTGTTGAAGTACTTGTTGTTGAGATGGTAGTT